GGCCAAAGCAAGTTATGTAACTGAGCCCAGGGCCCCAGTGGAAAGACACTTCAAAGTGCCAGAGCAGAGGGTGAAGATATAGAGAGGCTATTTATTGGGGCCATTAGTATGGTCAGTCCTCCATATTTGTGCAAAAGCATGTTTTAAATAGGCATTTCTTATAAGCATTAACATAGCTGTCATTTCTAAACTGTGGGTGTAATACCTTGAAAATATGAAAAGTGAGTATTAAGTACATTTGTGGGCAAAGGATAAATATTTTGTTTCATTAAAAAAATCTCTGCTTCAAAGTAAAAATAACCCTTAAGTGGAAAAAAATCTCCATCTAACAGTCTGTCTTGAAAAATATTTATTTCCTAGCTCTTGGCATTGTCCCCTAGGGATGCAGTTCAGAAAGCAGACTTTTCTGTGAGAATGCATGGTGTTCTTACACCTAGTTTTGAAATCTGGCTTGGAGAACATTGACTGGAATAAGATAAAGGCGTAGAGCTACTTGAGAGGTATAGGTTGGGAGGACGACAGTTCAAGCTACCCAGACCCCCCCCCCAAAAAAAAAAACTAGGAAAACTTTATCTTCACAAACAAGCTGGGTCTGCCGATGCATGCCTGTAAAATACAGATCTGTGAGAGATACTGGCAGGAGTGCTGTGGTCTGAGGCTAGCCTGGACAAAAAGTATGAGAACCTATCTGAAATATGTTGACTTTAAAGTTATTTCTCCACTAATACAACCGTGTAGATTTTCAAGACCCCTGTATGCTGATGGCTTTTTGCTGGTTCCTCTGTACATGGCACACTACAACGATGATTGCAATAATAGCAGAAGGAATGTTTCCATTATAATTGGACTCAGACTGCTGTTTGGGAACATTTTTTCACAAGATATCAATACAGGGCAGGGTAAGAAGACAGTTGTAGACCACTAAAGTTTATAGAGTATTTAACATTGGGTGCATAAACATCTCCAAGGCACTTTGCTCTCCTTCAGCTTACAGGTTGCCTGTGTGAAAAAACAAAAACAAAAACCAGTAACAACTGTAATAGCAATTAATTATCATTTGTGAAGACTTGGAATGTGCTATAGAAACTAAGCTAACAAACAAGTAAGTAACTTGTGATACTTTATTTGAACCCTAGAGTAACTGTCAGATTGGTAACCACAATTTGCTGTTGAACAAGACAGCTGAACAGGTTAACAAACATTAAACATTGGCTCAGTACCACATGGGATCCAAGTGTCGAATGAGATATCAAGACTACAAAGAAATACCTGAGACAGCTAACTTACAGAGAAAAGTTATTTAGTTCACAGACTTGAAGGCTTAAGGACATGGCACCTGCGTTGGCTCACTTACGGTGAGAGTTAAGTCTCTGCTATAGTTTGCATCTGGAGTGTCCCCCAAAGGCCCACTGAGGATTAGGTTGTTGGGAATTGGTGGATTCTTTAAGGGTTAGCCTAGTGGGAGGCTTTAGGTCACTGTAGACATGCCATTGAAGGGGATGGTGGGACTCAGTTCTCTTTCTCTCCTCTTCATGCCGTGAGTAACTATGCTCCACCACATAGTTCCTGCCATGATGTACTTCTTCCCCTCAGGCGCAGAAACAGTGAGGAAAGCTGATCATAGGCTTCAGCCTGCAAAACTCTGTGCCCCAAATGAACCTTCTTTAAGTCATGTAGGTATTTGGTGACAGTAAAAGACGAGTATTGAATACAGTTACATAGTGGTGGATACCAACCCTGAGTGAGTGTGCAGAAGTAAGCAGATGATTACATCAGAAACCTAGGGTGGAGAGTGACCAGGGTGGGCTACACTCACATTGTATAACAACTCTCTTCCATAGCGGGCTTCAGGAGAAATGTGTCATGCCTTCAGTGACCTAAGGACCTCCTAGTTGTACCAACCTGGGACCAAGTCTTTAATCCCTCTGGGAACACACATGCCACCTTCAACTATAGCACTGTCTAAAGAGAGTGCATCTATTTGAGAAAAGAGGAAGTAGAATTATGTGTCCAATTTTTATTCAAATCTGTAATTTCTCTTTGAAATCATTTAAAATTATATAGCATCTGTAGTGAGCCAAAATAGAAGTGGGTGTCTTGTTCACCCATTTAATAGTGCTTTTATGATCTCTGTTGTGGACCTTTTGTGGGCCTATTACAGGCATTCCAGCATAATGGATTTCATTAATTCAGCACACAGAAACACTGCCAGAAGGGCAAATGCTGTTGCTAGATTGTTTCACTTAAGTAGTTTTATGCTTCACCTTCAAATCACAACTGTATCCTTAATGTGAAACTTGGAGCAGTCTGCCATCAGTCCCCAGCATCTTTGACCTCAGTATGTGATTTTTATGGAAACAAGGGCTCTTGCTATGAATGCTGGCAAAATCTCTAGCATTATAGCTGGTGCAGCATTTATGCCAGTCTCTACTTTTCAGGGTAATTTTTTAATTAAAGTTTTGGACTTACATGGCATTCTAGATCAGCACTAATCTAGAATGCAAGCCCCATTTGTAATGATAAATTTCCAGTATATATATTTATATACATTAAAATATGTCTGGCTTCTAGCATCGTGTATGGCCCAGAGCAAGTATGAGATGCATATTGATCAGATAATAGACAAGGCCATTGATAACATGAAGTGGCCAGCAAAATGATTCTTTACAGGACTGTTTAGTACTAGAGTTTGTTCAGACCAAGGGAACAGGAATAAGTTAGGATTAAAGGCCATCAAAAGTATGCAGATTCTTAGATTTTTGTCCACAATACTTACATAATTATGTCTTTTTCTGGCTTTCTCTCTGTTGGAATTTGTTTCTTGTGCTGTTAATCACCTTCCCTGTGGCTATGTATAGTTTAAGGTGCACAGAAAACAAAAGAAATAAGGAAAGCCAGCTTGTGAAATACTTTTTTTGTTGTTGTTGTTGGTCATGGGGTTTGAATTCTGGGCTTGGGTGTTGTCCCTGGGCTCTTCACCTCAAAACGAGTGTTCTACCCTTGAGCCACAGCAACACTTCTGGTTTTCTAGTGGTTTATTGGAGAAAAAAAAAATCTCATGGACTTTTCTGCCCAGGCTGGCTTTGAACCGTGATCCTCAGATCTCAGCCTCCTGAGTGGCTAGGATTGTAGGAGTGAGCCCCTGGCACCCAGCTGAAATACTTTTAAAGAGATTAGAAAACACATATGAAGACAGGTATAGAAAGGGTATCTCTTAGTGTTTTAGGACAGGTTCAAATAAACCCACCCCTTTAATTATAGAAGAGTAATGAGCCTGCACCATAGTATGTGAAAATATAATTAAAAATGTATTGTGGGCTAGCAGACCAGGTTGTCAGGTCATTAGCTGAATCATAAAGTTGGAAATAATGCCCATTAAAAGTTACTCATTTGGAAAGGTTAGATTAGGATTTGGAGTGTTTGAAAACAGCTTTTCAATTTGAAATATGCATTGGGAAACCTCTAGCACTTGATGTTTCCTTGTAACTTTTCATGGAAGTGTGTACGAATATGGGAATGTACATAAACAGGACACAGCTTGAAGAATTTCATCATCCAGTCAGGTTCATTACTGTTGCCAATATCTCTCAGCCCAAGCTCTTGATCCTTCCCCTTCCGAGCCCACCCCCCAACACCACTGTCCTGACATAGAGAAGTTTTTCCTGTTTTTGTACTTTATATGAATGGAATCATGAAGTGCCCACATCAGAGATGAGGCTATTATTTTAAGTGACATTTCTGACAGTAGCCTCATTGACACCAAAGTCTGTTTATAGATTTCCTTGTGATATGTTTATTTTGGTAAACTGGCAGTTCACACCTGTTTCTAAACCATTTTTAGTTTTCCTTTATGATATTTTCTTTGTAATTACATGATTGTTCAAGTGTGTGCCTATATACATTTATACATACATATATGTATATGTATATTCTCAAACATTTTAGTCAAGATGTAGGGATAGGGCTCAGTGGTAGAATGCTTAGCTAGCATGCACAGATTCTGGGGTTGACTTCCAACACTGAAAAAGTAAGTAAATAAAAACACAAATTTTACTCAGATCATACTGTGCTCTGCATCTCCATCACCTTTTGGGGATACATCTTAAAGCCTAATGTGAATACAGTACCCCATTGCATAGATGTCCCATGATTTAGGCAGCCACAGAAGAACAGTTAGGTCATTCCCTGGTTGTTGGTTCTAGAACAATAGGATCCATATAAGTTTATTTCTAAAATGAGTGTTTACAAGTGGAGCTGCTAAGCAGTCCAGTCCATGCATTTGAATTTGCTCAGATCTTTGTACGTGGATCTCCAAAAAGGTTTGCCATTTTTAACTCTCACTAGATGTGAAAATTCCTATCTCCACTGCCCTTGCCTTGTGAGTCTTGGCAAACTGATATAGCAAGAGTAGTTTATCATTATTGCCTCAGTTTTCATTTTACTTAATTTTGAGTGAGGCTAATTATGTTATGTTTGTGTTTCTCTTGGGACTTGTCCCTGCCCTTTGCCTGCTTTGTACAGGCTGCTCACATTTTACTTAATGATTTCAAGGTGTTCTTTTTATAGAATGCTCTTATATAATAGCCTTTTTATGTCATCTGTGGTGGTAAATATGTTTTTTTAATCTTTAACCATGTTTATAGTCCCCTTTTTTTTCTTCCTGAGCAGAAGGTTATAATTTTTATGTGGCAAAATGTACCAGATTTTTTTCTTAGTGGCTTCTGAATTGTGTATTTAGTGAGAAAAAGTATTAGAAACAGATAGGTAGGCCTGGCATGGGAAAAAAATCTTAATAGACTTTTGTGGCAAATGTGGTTTAGTAGGAATTCAAATTATAGTCAAAAGTGGTTGACCAACTATAAATAAGCAAAAATATGCACATTAATTAGGTAAAGATTGTCATATTTAATGGCTTGTAGAAGGATTTTCAATTCTATGGGTTTTTTCCAGTTATATTTTGTTTCTTGGAGTTTTAATTTCTCAAATGATCCTTTTTTTAGATTGCAAATTATAACCTATTGCCTGCACCATTGCGGACGTCCAGTGACCCATGTCCGAAGTACTTTCAGGTCAGATATCTTTTCACATATTTCAATGCACAAAAGCAGCTGAATATTAAAACTTTATAAAATATATTATAGAACATATTTTAATGTTAAACCCATAATTTGCAAAAGTAGAGTGTTTTTGGTTTTCATTGTTTTACTACTATAACAGAAAGATGAATGTTTAAAATGAAGAATCAGTTATTTCTGTAGTAATTGCAATACAGTAATTATTATGTGTATAATAATTGCATGATTTCTTATATTGTCATGTAAAAGTAGTTAACAGGAAATAAAAATTCTTTTTTTAATTTTTTATTGTGAAAATACCATACAGAGGGGTTACAATTACATGAGCAAGATAGTGAGTACATTTCTTACCAAGCATTGTTGCCTCCTCCTTTGTCGTCCCCCTCATCCCCCCACCCCCACGCCAAAGTTGTAAAGTTTGTTTTTTGACATAATGTCTTGTACATCTCATAGTTGCAATGGGTCCACCTGTATCCCTATTTAAACAATTTGTTTTTCCCTTCCCCTCCACAAATTATACCAACATCAAATACAATGAGAAACAGGGGTTATACCGTGGGGGAGGGACATACAAAGCAACAAAGAAATATCTTATAAATATGTTAGAAACAATAGCAAGAAAGAAAAACTATTTGAGTCCTTATCGTGGGGTTCATTTCACCTAACATCAACTTATCTGACCTTTCTGCTTGTCTCAGACATATACTAGTTATTGCAAATAAGGGAAACCATGGGACTTATGTTTCTTTGGGCCTGGCTTACTTCACTTCATATAATTTTTTCCAAGTCAGGAAATTAAAATTCTATCATATTTTATTATCGCCTTTTGTACTATTGAAATATGATCAAAAGAGTAGGTGGAGCCTATGTAAACAACATCTTATATTACGGGATATTTCTAGAACAGAGTCCCCCAATTTGGTATTCTTCTTGAAGCTAAGATGATGAATTTCATATCTTAATTTTACTGTATAACCCTGTCTTTGTCTTGTGATTTGTGCTAATTTACATATAGCATGATTTGGAATGTAATTCTTATCCTCATAGTAGTATAATAAGATAAAGGCAAGTATTTTTTGTAAGATTTCAGGTTAAATATAAGACTATATATGGCAGGTAGCTGTGAGTAAGTCCCATATTTTTTAGGACACGTGTCACTCAGCAAGCTCTCAGTTTTTATTGTTAATTCAGTTTTGTTACTTAAGATGGGTCTGTTCAGTTGGTTTATGTCTTCCTGGCTCTGTTTGGGTAAGAGTACATAACCATGGTGTTCTTAAATTCTAAAGTTAAATTTCAGATTAAATATGTTCAGCCTCTTTTTACATAGCACTTTATAGATTTTATTTCAAAACAAAACTAAAATAAACACTAAGCTCAGTATGGTGGCAAGAAATGCTTTATTTAAAAAAGTGAAAAAAGTATGTTTACCTGACAATGTTAAACCTATATTCATACATGAAAATCAGTTAAAGCTAATTCTTGGAGGCTACTTAATTGTACTATGGTTTCATGGTGGTTTTTCTTTTTAAGTACATAGTTATACTAATTTTAGTAACTCAAGACAAATATATGTGTCCTTTTAAAAATAAAATTTAGCTATAGAGAATAATTCCTTTGAGAAATTCTGTAAATTCTTATATTACATTGCAAAATAGACAATATTGAAATAATAAAAGCACAAGCCTGGCAGATAATACATTCGGTAATGTACTTTCCTCTAAATGAGAGAATGATCAATAGCGTCTAGAAATCTCTTACTGCTGATGTATTTTGTTGTGCTGACATGTATTCAAATTGCTTGATTCCTTGATAGTTATATAAGACACTGAAATGATTATTCAGCATGATTATTAAAATAACAGCACCAATACTATTCATTAATATAACAGATAATGTATTTTAAAAGGAAATTAATATTCATATTTAATTGGTGTATTTATTTCAGGCATTTTTTATTCTCTTAACTCAAGTAGTGATGAAACATCTGGACTAATAACAGGAATAAAGATGCCTTCGATCCCATTTTCCATCTGTTGGGAGCTTGACTACAATAGCCTTTTAAAATATGGACCTTCCAGAACTTATCCTGTTATATGCTTAGAGAATGTGTGTTGATTGATCAAGGTTAGAAGTCCCTTTTAAGTAGATCTTAGTCCATGACTTACCTTATTTCAAAGAGTCTGCTGCCTAATAGAGCTTACTATCATTTCCCTTTTGGAATCAACTTGAAGCATAGCTTATGCATTACTCAGGCTTTTATTGTTTTTTCAAGTGAACCAGTGTCCCCAAGCTTGATTATTAACTATTCATCAGACTTGGCCATAAAAATCTAGAGTTGTTAAAGCAACTTAGTAAAACTTTCTTTTTTTTGGCGGGGGGCCGGAGGGGTGTCCATTGTGGGGCTTAACTCTAGGCCCAGACACTATCCCTCAAGCTCTTCAGCTCAAGGCTAACACTCTACCACATGAGCCACAGTACCACTTCCCACTTTTTCTGCTTATGTGGTTCTCAGGAATGGAACCCAGGGCCTCATGCATGCAAGGCAAGCACTCTACCACTGAGCCACCTTCCCAGCTCCAGTGCAAGTCATCTTCAGAAACTGTTGAAGCATTTCTTTTTATTTTTCTTCTGGTCTGTCATGGGGCTTGAACTCTGGGCTTGGCTCTATCCCTGTACTCTTCAGCTCAAGGCGAGTGCTCTACTGCTTGAGCCACAGCGCCTCTTCCAGTTTTCTAGTGCTTAATTGGAGATAAGAGTCTCATGGACTTTCCTGCCCGGGCTGGCTTTGAACCTTGATCCTCAGATCTCAGCCTCCTCAGTAGCTAGGATTAGAGGCACGAGCCATCCATATCTGGCCTTTGAAGCATTTCAAAAGAGTGAAATCAACTTAGAAATGAATAAAGAAAATATCTTTGGAATAAGAATTTTCCCCTCTTAGGTTTTCAGCCCAGGGCCTTAAGCATATTAGATAAACACTATCCCACTACATGTCCCCTTTCCGTTGTAATATGTATGTATGTATGTGTGTATGATGTATCTATGTTTGTGTTTATTTATGAGGTAAGGAGGATTGAACCCAGGGCCTTATGCATACTACTTGAGCTTTGCCTTGTGTTCCACCCTTTTTTGTGTGTTTTGTTTACAAGATAAGCTCTTACCAATTTTTTCTGGACTGGTATGAAATTTGTAATCCTCCTGCTATCACCTAAAGAACAGCTGGAATTAGAAGCATGTGATACCATGTCAAACTCTAAGTCTTATTCCTATTCAGATACTCCGATTCTGCTTGCGTCTTTTTCCTCCTTATCCACTTGTGGATTCCACCCCAGGAAGGTCTGCCCTGAACCTCATCTCTTCTTCTGAATACATGTTCTCATAAGACCTTTTACCTACTTTAGGCTGTGAGTTTATGTAATAAATATATCCCAACTGATTTATTTTTAAATAACATTCACCTCTTTGTTTGTTAGTTTGCGTTAATTATATAGGATGGTATTTCACTGTTAAATTTCCACACATTTATAATATATTCTAGTCTATTTCACCCCACCATGGGTCTCCTTTTCCTTTTTCAACAGATTTCACAATAGATTTCAGCAATCTATTTCAATCATTTTCTACTACTTCATCTTCTTTGTTCACCAATCCCCTCCTGACAGTCACCTCCCCACAACAGAACCTTTCCCCCTATTCCTCCCATATTTTATAATTGACCGAAGTTTATATGCTTACTGTTTCTAACATTTTGTTTTGAAATGTGTTTACAATGTCAAATATCTGACTGGGTTTCTTAAAGTATTGGCTGCAAAAATTTAACTTGTTCGACCTCAGTTTTTCCTTGGAACAAGTGAGGGAGGCTGCAGGCAGTTGAGTCTTGGGGGACACTGGGACCAGTAGGACCTTGCTGTTGAAAGGATGCCCTTATCTAGATCTAGACCCTATAAATGCACCCGATGAAGTTACCCTCCAGCAGTAGAAATTTCCAAGCTTCTATCCGGTCACCTCCCCAACCCTATGGCGTCAGCTGCTTTCCCATAATTTTTGGTTCTTTTGTTCACAGAGAAGTTCTTATCGTTTTTTGTCACATTGAGGGTTTGCTTTCATGAATAATTTCAGGAAACCAGTTTTATTTTGCCTCTCCTTCCTAAAAGGAAGAGAAAAATCTAAGTTTATTTCATTTCCTTCATTCTTTGAGGTCTAGTTCAAAAGGCAGCATTCCTCAGGGTGGGAGTTTTGCTGTTAATTCCTCAGCAAGAAGAAGATAGTTTAGCAGAATGAAAATGAAAATATGACCTTTCATTTAAGAATGGGGCAGACTGTGTCTGAACCCATTTGCACTTCATCATCTTGTCATGGGAAAAAATAGAGTAGTCAGTAATTGAAGAAGACAAGTTTCCTGCCATACAGACAAGGGAGAGGTCTCAGTGAAGAGCAAGGAAGGAGAAAGCTGTGCTCAGAGGAAGGGTTCCTGCAGCTGCACTCCACCCTGGTAACTGGGTTTGAGGACGGCAGGGTTTGACATGAAATTGCAGCAATCCTCACTTAGCTAATTTTGTTTAGAGTTCTTAAAAAAATACTTAAAAAATACTCACTCTATTCACTAGGGCTATTATAGTTGCCAAAAAAGAAAGCACAGCTCCAAATGATTTAAGCACTTTGATAAATCACCTCATTGGCCTGAGAAGTCCAGCTCTCTACTGTTCAGGCCTGGCTTATTTCAGGGGTTTCAATAATGGTGTTAGGACTTGGCTCATGTTCCTGCTCTGGCTTCCTTGACTCTGCTTTGTTATCCTTTGATTTGTGCATGGCGGGTTGTCTCTTTATGGTGACCCCTTGTAGCTGTAGGCTGGTTCAAGAAAGAAAGAAAAGAGGGCCCATCTCTCTTCTTATCATTGCAGCTGAAAACTCGGGAGTGGCTCTGTGTAGGTCACATGGTTTTCTTCCTGAACTTCTACCAGAATCACAGGAATTTCCTTGACTGACTGACTGTGCTTGCAATATCCAGAACAGAAGTTTAGTGAGAGCAGATATTTTTACTTTGTCAGTTTTGTTCACCACTGTGTCTTCAGCACCTACAAGCAAATCTGCCACATGGTATAAAAAAAAATACTTTGAATGAATGTGGGGGAAAGTTAGTTCCCCAAGAAATACTATGAAGCTGTTAACACAAGGAATAGAATACGTACCAGGCCATAGGTGGTTCTCCATCATACATGCAGGACAGTATGATAGCAGGGATCATTGGCATTGGCATAGTCTTAAATCTAGATGTGAGCCTGCCTCCGCAGTAGGAATCAATCTGCTTGAATTGGTTTGGTTCTTCGTGCGTCCCAGTAAGAACAGTGTGCTGAGTAATGTGTAGGTGCTGGTACAACCAAGGGGGCCTACCTACCTTGCAAAGCCAGGAGAACTACCCAGGATGGAACACCAACCTCACAGTGACTGGCATTCTGCTTATCTGTTCCTCACCAACAGGAGGCACACGGAGATGTGGAGCCAGCCAGTTTTGTGGCTGGTTGAGGGGTTACCACTGTTTACCTGATTACCTACTGTGCATAGGTTCTTTTCTTTCTTTCTTTCTTTCTTTCTTTCTTTCTTTCTTTCTTTCTTTCTTTCTTTCTTTCTTTCTTTCTTTCCTTCTTTCTTTCTTTCCTTCTTTCCTTCTTTCCTTCTTCCTTTCCTTCTTCCTTTCTTTCCTTCTTCCTTTCTTCCTTCCTTCCTTCCTTCCTTCCCTCCTTCCTTCCTTCCTTCCTTCCTTCCTTTTTTTTTGGTCAGTTGTGGGGCCTGAACTCTAGGCCTGGGTGCTGTCCCTGAACTCATCAGCTCAAGGAGAGTGCTCTACCACTTCAGCCACAGCACCACTTCTGGTTTTCTGGTGGCATATTGGAGATAAAAGTCTCACCCACTTTCCTGCCCAGGCTGGCTTTGAACTGTGATCCTCAGATCTCAGCCTCCTGAATAACTAGGCTTACAGACATGAGCCACCGGCACCCCATAGGTCTTTAACCTTTGTCTCTTCAACTCTGGGTCCTGGGCCTTTAACCCTCAGACATTGCCGTGTACTTTGGGGACCCCTTTCAGCCTTGAGTATTCCAGGACTTTGCTGTCACTGAGATACCTCATAACCCTTTGAGCATACCTGACTTCTCAGCTGTTATATTCACTCCAGGAGGCAACTGTACACGTCATAAGACTAGTTTAGCTTCCGGAAAATATGATTATCTAAGGCACACTCACTTATGTTCAGACTTTTAATATGAAAAACAACACCAACAGAGCTGTGGGTGAATGTCTAGTGGGTGTCTGATCTTCCTGATCTTAGCTTCTCTTTTACCCCACCCCACCATGATTTCTAGTAAGTAGAATGGTTAATTGATAATGACAATGAGATCCAAAAGGCTTATGAGAAAGTGGCAAAAAAAAAATTTATATGTCACATCCAGCATGTCAAAAACTACTCAGATAATAAAATCACCTAGAAATTTTGATGATTTTCTTTTTGAAAGTATTTAGAGTTATAAGTGAATAAAAATTACTTCCAGGGGCTGGGAATGTGGCTTAGTGGTAGAGTGCTTGCCTAGCATGCATGAAGACCTAGGGTTTGATTCCTCAGTACTACATAAACAGAAAAGGCCAGAAATGGTGCTGTGGCTCAAGTGGTAGAGTGCTAGCCTTGAGCAAAAGAAGGCCAGAGACAGTGGCCAGACCCTAAGTTCATGCCCAGGACTGACCCCCTCCAAAAAAAATTATATCCAATAAGGCAATTAGAATACCTAGCAGCACTAGACATCATAAAATAGCCTAGTCGAAATTCTTGCCATGTCACTCTTAAGTAATTGTGAGTGTAAAGATGTGTGTGTGTCTGTATCTGTACAATGAGTATATGTCTCACAGAATGCCTTATAGGGATACAATGTAGGACTGCCCCTAATAAGTGCTACTCTTGACTGAGGTCTAACTATAAATTAAAACTGCTTCCCAACAGATGGTAATTGAAGCCAATAATCATAAAATCAATTTTAAAATGTTGTTATTTAAAAATTAAGAAACACACTAAATATGATGTATATAAAATGAGACCCAAGAACTGAATAGGAAGAGTGCTTTGTTAGCAAGAATCCTCTAAGTAAAAGCTTTAAACAATGGGTTATTTGACTTTGGGTTACAGTTCTTCTCTGCTGCCACACTATAGATGTGGATATTTTCTAGGATGCATGGATGTTGCTTAGCTTCCTAAAAGAACAAGGATTTTAGAATGACCCAGTGACTTTTTTCCTAAGGTTGCCAACCTGTGCACGTGATGTTACACAGATACTTTACAAAGGGGGAAAGCTCCCTGCTTTGCCTGGGGGAGGAAGAGTTAGTTGTCCAGATACAATTCCAAGAATGTCACAAGGTGTGCTTACTTCCTATGCTACTGAAGTGCATGCAGTTCACACAAGTCTCTGTGGAGGGCAGAGGATTAGATAAGAAAAAGCCATTGCTCACAGAGAAATCTGAAACCTTAGGCATTTTTGCAGATGAATTTTATTCCTCTCTAGCCCAAGAAACCACCTTCTAACAAGAGACAAAGGAAATAAATCACTGTTGGTGTGAATCATATTTGAGATAAATACATCTGTCAGATAGTTTCCTAGGTGTCTTGTAAGAGCACCTGGTGACTGCAAACAGCTGAGTCTGTATTTTAATTTAGCACAATATCGTCAGTCTCCTCTGGTGGCTCTAACACATCTGTAGTCAGGGCCCAGTGCTGCATTATCAGTAATAGTTTTGCTTATATGTACTTTTGAGAACTTAATCAACATTTCTTCAAATTTCTGTTGAGTCTAAACAATAAGCCTAGGTCAAAATATTCACAAAGATATTAAAATACTCTAATAGAGCTTTTGTTTTCTAGGCACTCAGAATACAATTTCTAAGCATAGTTGAGAAAAATAATGTTGGCTATACAGAACATTATTGAACAATGACCTTGCAGCTTAATTAAGAAAGCTGAAGCCCCAGAGGACTTTAGAGCAGCTTTTTGTTGCTGTTGTTGCCAGAAGGAACTATAGAATAAAAATGTAGTGTAAATTTTTGGAATGGGGGTGCTTTTCAAGGTTGTAAAACATGAAGGTAGCCAGAAGAAAATGTATTTATATAAATTTAGAGCTTTATTTTTTTAAGTCTAAGTGAAATATAGGCCATCAGATGTTTTAGCCTTTGTGTATAAAGTAGATTTTGGGCATTCACATTAAGTTCATTTGTTCCTGCTTGATATCTGAAAAAAGATGAGAAAGAAATAGGAAACTGGGTCAGTTCTACAGGAATGTACTACACAACAGAAGTATTTATTCTTTGGATCTTCTCTGTAGAAGCATTTGCTCACCTGCTTGGTTAAGTCACTTAATCACTGCAGATGTCTAACCACCAAATTTCTTTTTCTCCAGCTGACTCAGGGAGTGAGACCTTGGCAGTGTTTATGGCCAGCAGCGGAACCACAGAGGTCGCCACTCGAAACAGCCCAGCCACACCACCCAACACCCTTAATCTCCGTTCTTCCCACAATGAACTGTTGAATGCTGAAATCAAACACTCGGACACCAAGAACAACACCCCCCCCAAATGCAGGAAAAAATATGCACTGACTAACATCCAGACAGCCATGGGCCTCTCCGATCCTGCGGTGCAGCCCCTGCTGGGAAGCGGTTCTGCCAACATCAAGCTGGTGAAAAATGGGGAGAACCAGCTCCGGAAGGCTGCAGAACAGGGGCAGCAGGACCCCAACAAAAACGTGAGCCCCGCTGCAGCCATCAACATAACTTCTGAGAAGTTGGAGGGGAAGGAGCCCCACCCGCCTGAGCCCTCCAGCTGTGAGATTTTACCCTCCCAACCCAGGAGAACGAAGAGCTTCCTCAACTACTATGCAGACCTGGAGACCTCAGCCAGAGAACTGGAGCAGAGCCTGAGCGGTCACCATGGGGTGGGGGAGGAGAAAGGCCAGCCAGGACAGGGCCAGCCCCCCACTGTCATTGGGAATGGTGACTTGCTGCTGCAGAAACCAAACAAACCCCAGTCCAGCCCAGAAGATGGTCAAGTAGCCACAGTCTCCTCCAGCCCAGAGACCAAGAAGGATCACCCTAAAACGGGGGCCAAAACCGATTGTGCACTCCACCGGATCCAGAACCTGGCCCCAAGTGATGAGGAGTCCAGCTGGACGACTCTGTCCCAAGACAGTGCCTCCCCCAGCTCCCCGGATGAAACAGGTACCCTCCATGTTTTCTGCTGTCGATGGAGTAAATCCATAGCTGACCAGAAATGTCTTTCCAGGCAGAGATGAACAGGAATATAATGGGGGCAAATTGTATGGCATGGTCATTAGACTGCTCAGCCAACCTTAGGTTAAATTTTAAGCCATGTGTAAGTTGTTCTGTTGAGTGAGTGTGTGTGTGTGTGTGTGTGTGTGTGTGTGTGTGTGTGTGTGTGTGTGTGTTGCGAGCCCAAGTTTTGTTTTGTATTTTTGTTTTTTTAAGGGTGTGGGCAGTACTGAGGATTGTTCTCAGGGCCTTGAACTTACAGGACAGGTATTCTACCACTTGAGCCACACCTCCAAGCCCTTTTTTTCACATTGGTTAGTTTAGAGGTAGGAGTTCATTTTTTTTATGCTCAGGCCAGCCTGGACTGTGATCCTCCTACTGTGTTTCCCTGTGTCCCCGGAGCTCTCAGGTACACAACACTGCTCCCAGCCATTGTGTTTTCCCGATAGCTGGGATGACAGGAGTGTGCCACCACACCCAGCCATTGGCTGAGATGGAGTTTGACAAACTTTTTATGCCCAAGCTGGCCTTAAATGGAGATCCATTTATTACTGCCTCCCAAGTAACTAGGATTACAGGCTTGAATTGTCACACCTGGTAGCTAAACATTTTTCTTTCTTTTAAGAAATTATCCTTGACATTAGTACAGTGAAATGTCATCTATATAGAAAATATACTTTTATTTTAGCATGTCCAAGTGAAAGTGAGAAAACAGTAAAAATGAATTTAGAAATTTAGGATTTAGATTGAGATTTTCTTCCAGTATTTTTTTTCATATTTGCAACTTTTTTAAAATTTGGAGGTCTCATTAATTCAAGCTAACATAGAATTCACTGTTTAGACCAGGCTAGCCTCCAACTCATGATCTTCCTGCCTCCATCTCTAGGGTAATAGTATTATGTGTCACTGTGCAGGCATTATTGAAACATTTTTATTTGCCGAGGTGTTACATAGTGACAGAAATTAAGATGATCCTAAAAGTCAGCTACTTCACATGTCTTTTTCTCATGGTCTCCTCTGCACTAATCAGAAAATGGAAAAGATCTGTTTGGGAGGCTGGTGGCTCAGACCTATAATCCTAGTTACTCAGAAAGTTTAGATCTGAGGATCACTATTTGAAGCCAGACTGGGAAGAAAAGTTCATGAGACACCTATCTCCAGTTAACCACCACCACCACCAAAAACAACAAATGAAGTAGCTGTGTGGTTCAAATAGTGGAGTGCCAGCCTTGAGTGAAAAATTTAAGGAAGACTACAAAGCCCTGAGTTTAAGATCATTAGTCGCACACACACACACACACATACACACACACACGAGAAAGATCTGGAGTACTTTGTTGTGTAAGAATTAAATGTAAACAGCATTCATAGAGGTAGCCCAGGAACTGCTCTATGTGAGTCTAGAGTTGTCTTAAGGGGAGACAGATATTAGGTGAACAGATAGGACACTAAGGAAAGAAATGATACTTTTCTAACCTGTAATGCAGGTATGTTACTAGGAATGAAGATAAAGAGACAAGACTTTATTTTGTTTTAAAAGAGGAAGTGCTTTTGAAGTGTCCTTTGAAGTGCCATACTTTAGGTGATGGATGTCATAAGCCTTGTACAGCTGGATATGGCAGGGGTGGGGGCCATGGGATGTACCCATTGCATCTCATAAATGCCTGGCCTTGAGTGTCATTGGAATCATAATTCTGTGTAGTAATGTCATTGACTCCATAACGCATTACTTTATACCTAGTAGGGAAATCTGAGCACTCTCACATTTGGTATTTAAGGGTGTCTTGGAGCCAATCCTCTCGTGAATACCAAAGGATGATTATATATACTAATATAAGTAATAGTGTATATGGGGATTTTTTTCTAAAGTAATTGGGTCATGGATTAAAAATAAACTCACTCTTTGGCTGCTGTTAAAACTAGGTTATGGGTACAGAGCATTTATTATTACATGTTTAAACTTTTCCATAATTAAAACAGAAATTCCTCTAGTTAGACTTTTTTAAATGCTTTCACTTTCCAGTTAAGAATACATTTTGTATGGGGGCTGGGGATATAGCTCAGTGGTAGGACCTTGTTCAGCACACAAGAGTTGCTGTCCTGCAAAGCAAAAAAGAAATTAAAGTATTTTTTAGATCAGCCCTTGCTTCCTTCCTGACTTCCACTTCCAACTTCCTTCTGGCTGTGGGGTCTCAAGCCCATAATCTTCCTGTCTCAGCCTCTCAAATATTGGGATTACAGTCATGTCATTATACCTGATTCCATTTTGAAGTCATACATACTATGCCACCAGGCGCAAGCTCCATGATTTAGTTAAGATTTCTACTTCTTGTGCTCTACTCAGTACAGGCTGTGGAGAAGACCCCCGCTGGTGCTGAAAAATGAGTGTCACTCCACTCCCAGGCTGGTCCTTTGCACCATTATGGCTGTATTGTGTGCCTTTGATTCCCTCCTGGGAAAGACATTCCAGAGCCACTGTACTTGGCTCATTACCACAAATCTGCTCCCTGGGCTGGCATCTCTGTACTGGCACATGTTAAAAACTGGGTTAGACTTCTGACATGTTGTGTTCAGCTTTTGCTCTCAAAGTCAGTTTTGAAGACTTTTAAATTTAGAGCAAGGATGACAGCATGGTGGTGGCTCTAAGCATAGATACGTGATTTACTCAAAAAAATATTAGATGTTACACAGATCACACTCTCCAAAAGTATACCAGAAACTCAGCTTGTCCTTTTCCATGAAGCGGTCACTTTGGGGTCTTGGTATGTTCTTCATTCAGTATGCCGCAATGGTGCAAAACCGAAATCTTACTGCTTTGGGATTGCCGCAGTGCCAGTTGCAGACCTCTGCTGAGATGAAACCTCTTCCCTTCAGAGTCACGCCTCAACCTTTTAGGTGGCAAACACTGTAGAAATTAGTGAATGATACCAACGAAGTACTTTTCAGCATCGGTGTTATGGTTTCATCTTTCAAGTGAAACATATTGTTATTGTCTGAAATGATCACAATTAGTATAAGTGAAAAATTGAATAGCAAAATTAATGTTTATCATATAAATGCCATTATTAAAAAGGGGGAAGAGCCAGATGCCAGTGGCTCACACCTGTAATTCTAGCTACACCGGAGGCTAAGATCTGAGGATCACGGTTCAAAGCCAGCCGGGGCAGGAAGGTCCATGAGACTCTTATCTCCAATAAACTACCAGAAAACTGGAAGTGGAGCTGAGGCTCAAGTGGTAGAGCTATTGCCTTGAGCTGAAGAGCTGAGGGACAGTGCCCAGGCCCAGAGTTCAAGCCCCATGACCGACAAAAAAAAAGAGGGGGTGGGAGGAAAGTATAACTTTTAAGATACCAATAAGCCATTTGGTAGTACATTTGCCTATTTATTTGTTTTGTGTTAAGTAAATGTACATCATATTGGTAGGTATTTTATGATTGAATCATGACACAATTTGCTTTGTATTGTAGGCTGCACTTTGGGGAGCCTGAAAAAAACAGAATAGACTCATTTGTACCTTAGGGGTATCCTTTCTGAGATAGAATGCTATTTATAAAACAAAAATGTTGCCTAACCCAGAGACTGACTACTTTCTATTTCCCTTTCTTTCTGAATTGGCCCCTCCAGCTTTCCAGCAACTTTGTTTGTCTAATCAATCATGTGTACAGTATGTCACTGCTCTTTTCCTCCTGTGTAGTCTGCCCCTTGAGAATACAAGGTTATTAGAAAGAAGAATAAGATCAGCAACATTACTGAGTTTTCTTAGGAGTTTAGAAAAGTTTGAGTGTGCCTTGACTCTGATTCTCAAACAAAAGATATATTATTTTCATACTTGAAAAGGAGAATTTTGAACCTAGTTGGGATTTGGTCAGAGGTACGTTTCCCTCAGTGGCCCCCGGTAAACACAGTGATTGTCAGACTCTATGTGTTCTTTGTTGATTGCTTGGTGCTTTATGCTAGCTTAGTAAAAACTTTGAAGAGATGTGTCTTTTTGAAGCTCTGTCTATAGCTCTGTCTGTCTGCCTAGCTATCTACCTATCTAATCTAATCCTAGGGCCTCGCACAGCCTTCTACAACTTAAGCCAATACTCCCATCCTGAACTCTAAATTTACTTAAGACTTTCTGAACCTCTAGGTTGGTTCTTCTACACCTTTCTATTGTCCATGCCTTGATGACCTTGGAAAATAAGTCATGACTAATTGAACAAAAATGGAGTTTACATATCCCCCAAAGCTCTGACCCCGTGTTATGTAGACATTTGTGATATATGTTAATTAGTGTTTGATTTTGATATTTTATAATTTAACTGATCATGTGGCCTCAAATAGGTAGGAATGAATAATCAGAGTTGGTGGGGAAGATATACTGAAATATTCAGGCCTACTGGGTGTCAGGCCCTGTTCTTTATACTTAGTTACAGTTAGATAGCTCTGCTGGCATAATGTCCAAAGTTTTTTCCTTGAACCGTGGTCTTGAGACTTAGGCATGGGGCTCCAGAGGCAAAACACATCGGACTTCATTCTGTTCAACTGATTAAATGTGGTTTACTTGAGAACCCAGGAAAAGGAAAGTTACTGTTATTACATCTCTCTATGCCTATAAGCAGTTCAGATCTAACTCAAATGCCATTTCCTCTGAGAAACTCTCTAGACTGTCTCAGCTTTGTAAGGCCCTTTCTCTGTTGCCCAAAGAAGTGTTTCCAAATGTCTGATCAGGATCCTCTCAAAGATTTACTGTCCTCCTTGGCAGTTTTTGGCCTTCCTTATATGTGTATATGACTCTCTTAACACAGAACACAGTACATAGCAAGAGGCCCCTGAAAGTTGTATGTTTGCTGAGTAGCTGGTTGGAGCTGGATTGTGATCCTTGTGCATGGTCTCTGATGTTAGCACACCTGTAGAAGTTGAGAAAGTGGGCATGGTCTGTATAAAATAACTCTAAGGTCCTTAGG